AGATGCTTGATTTAAAAAAAAAAAAAAAATCCCCTGAGGATGAGGTCTGACAGGCCCTGGGGCAGAGAGACCAGTTAGGAAACACTGCAGGAGTCCAGGCGCTGGTGGGAGGACCTGAATGGGAACAGGGGCTATGGGTGGGAAGGGAGGACTGAGACCCACAATCTACAATGGCTGGAGGAGTGACAAAGCCGGCTAAGAGGAGTGGCGAGAGAAGGCCAGGTGAGGCCTTGAATCAAACATGATGTGGATGACCTTGACCATGGCTCCAGGGAGAAGGATGGAAGCACAGGAACCTTCCAGAGAAGCAGGGCGGGGTCTTGCAGTTGGCATGTCTGCTGAGACCTGAGCCGACTCTGCTGAGTCTGAGAGATGAGCTCATTTGGGGAGCGAAAGGTTGGGAGGGTTTGATGGCGCCCACGCTGCTTTTCTCAAGCGCAAACTCCCTCCCTCCTCCTCTGTCCTGTCAAGTGTGCAGAGGCCTCTGACCCGTCGACCGTGGTGTCACAGCGGCGCGCGCGCCCTTCATGTCTGCTGGCAACGTTGGAGCACGCCCCTTCTCACGTGTCACCAGTGAAGTTTGGGGCTTGCTTTCCTCTTTCTCTCCTCTGCATCTATGTCTTCCCCAGCCCAGCTGATGTCACGGGGGAGGAGGGGCAAGTTTCCAAGTTCTCTGGTGGATTTATCTTCACGATCTTCGCTCCCCTGGAGAGAGCGTGAGGATTTGGACTAAAACCCTGTAATGACACTGTGTCCCCCTCTTTCTCCAACCCAAAACTGAACTCACATTATACCACTAGGCCTAGTGCCTTGAAAAATCTTTTTTTTTTTTTTTTTTTTTAATAGTCACTCCCTCCTTCCCCCAGGTCCTGGTCAGTCCATGATGTGCTACTTATTGGTGAAACCAGCGGTGGCCCGTCCCCCGGGAACGACCTGCCTCACACTTAGCAAGCAGGACACTCCTACGTAACATCCTCTTTAAACATCCAGCCTGCAGGACCAGGTGGGCCTACAGGGGACACC